GTCACTCGGTAAAAGTAGAAGAGTAAGAAGAACCACATATCACATACAGTATTACCTTTATACCTATGATGATCGATTTCTCCAGTCAGTAGAGAGTAGCGCCTTTGAAATATAAATCATGTTTCCATCATAATTGTCACCGGGTCGGATGGTGCAGTAAATAGTGATGCGTTCTACTTCTCGACCGTACCTGGAAAGGTATAGTCTCCTACCTTACCACGTTATTTGGTTAATGTTACGGAAGTCTAATATGATTAACATAGTTCACCGACATTTCATGAGTTGTTGTCTTACTTCCTGGTATGTGGTTAACATTAATATAGAAAATAAGTATGTGTGTATTTATGGAACCTGTATGACAACAGGTTTTCAAAATAAAGTCAATTTTTCACAGATTGTAAAAAATCCGTCTACTGGGTCATCATGTTGACCAAAATAACCGGTGTAAAGGATACAAAAGAAAACTCAGATTGTAGAGTATCCGTCTAATGGGTCATCGTGTAGATCACAATAACCGGTGTACAAAATGCACACAGTGGCTCAGATTGTAAAGTATCCGTCTTCATAGTCATCGTGTAGATCACAATTAACGGTGTATAAAATAAACACGGTGATTCAGATTGTAGAGTATCCGTCTATAAAGTCATCGTGTAGATCACAATAACCGGTGTATACAATGCACACAGGGGCTCGGATTGTAGAGTATCAGTCAACAAGGTCAACGTGTAGACCACAATAGCCTGTGTATACAATCACATGGCTCAGATTGTAGAGCATCCATCTTCAAAATCAGAGTATGGATCACAAGACATCATGTACAATATATACAAAAGGGGCTCAGAGTGTAGAAGTTCCGTCTACTAGGTGAACGCTAAGGCCTCAACTACCTCATTATAAAATAACCAGGGAACTCTTCTTGTAGATAATTCGTCTTCAGGTCATCGTGAAGACCACAGTAAAAGGATTATCATTGTTGAATATTCTTCTACAAGGTAAACATACAGGTCTATGTTACCCGTGTGACATTATGCAGTTCAGCGTGCAGATAAATATTTCAAGATATTAAGGTCAAAATTAAGAAATTTGCTTTTAAAATCATGATTTATTTTTTATGGCAATACGGGCGTTTCTTTACGGGGCTTGCATGTCCTTCTAATTCAACTACTTGTATCATATAGTGTCCATCTTTAACAAGGGATCGCAGAAACGTTTGCTGTCGGTTTTGT